AGAGGAAGGTACTGCAGTTGTTTTGACTGAGTTTGACATTTAAACCTTTAATAAATTTATTTAAAATGCATACAGTCTTCTATTTCAACTTCAAAGGGTGTGTCTTGTTTCTGATTCTTAAATGAACATTTTAATTCAGGCTTTACTCTCATATGTAAATCAGGACACATGCTATTGAATTTAATTTAAAAATACCATTCTTTTTTTTTTTTTTGGATAGTTGTTCATAAGTCCCTTATTTGTCCTGAGCAGTCAAACTGTCCATTATTCTTCAGAAAAATTCTCCAGGTAACATGGGAAAGATGGGTTTCTTCTGAAGCTTCTGACATAATTCAGCTATTATTTTGTCTTGTGGACTATATGTAAACATCTTTGATGCAAAATATCTTACTCAGGACAGTACTAAAAAAAATAACATGCATTTTGTCTGATCCCTCTTACAAAACATTAAATACGGACCCTTTGAAAATGAGCTCGAAAATTAATTTAACCAACTGATGTATTGGTTATTACAGAATTTATTACAAAACAACATACAGAACTACCACATTTTGCTATAAGTTTGATTGTATCATATAATAATTGCTGTTAATAGTGTTCATCGTCTGTTTGATTACGTCTTTAATTGATTTTTCCGTACATTTCTGTCTTATGTACATTGACTGACAGTCACCACTGATAAGCTACCACTAAATATTGTAGAAACTTAATTTGCTGTAAAGTTGCTTTGCAACTATTTGTATCGTGAAAAGCGCTATACAAATAAACTTGACTTGAATTTAATTATTCAACTTAATAAACAATTTAATTGGCTATTCACCAGTAACAAGACACCGCTTTTGAAGTTGTGATGGAAAATACATTGCATACATTTAAATTAATTTATTAACAGATTTGAATTTTATTCAATAGCATGTGTCCTGAATTGCATATGAGATTAAAACCTGAATTTAAATGTTCATTTAGGAATCAGAAACAAGACACACCTTTTGAAGTTGAAATAGAAGACTATAGGCTATTCCTTTTAAATGAATTTATTAACAGCTTTGAATTCAATTCAATAGCATGTATCTTGATTTACAAATGAGAGTAAAACCTGCATATGAAATGCTCTTTTAGGCCCAATTAACAAGACACAACTTTTGAAGTTGAGATGGAAAACTGTATGCATTTGAAATTAATTTATTTATTATTTATCAAATTATGTATTGGTTTAATTTTCTATAGTATGTGTTCAATTATAGTTCTGTGGCTAAAACCACCATCAAATTTTTTTTCTAATCTGTAACAAGACACACCCATTGAAGTTGTGTAATAAAACTGTGTGTAATAAATTAATTTATTAAACATATGATTTTCAAGTTCAAGTCAAAACAACTGCAAAACAAGACTTTGCCAGCTTTATCTTAATTGTTGAATTTCAATAGCATGTTTTCTGTTATAGTTCTGTGACTAAAACAAATATAAAAATAACAAGACACACCATGAGGTTGATACAGAAGAGTGTATTTATTTTAAATGAATGTATTTATTGGTTTTAATTTCAATAGCGTGTACTTTTTTGGTGTCATACTACTGTGAAAACAACGAACATTAAAATGTTCTCACAAGGACCTGGAATCAGCCTACTGCATAACCACTGGATTATGGAATTTAATATGGTTTTTCTTTTATTAATATATTTATTAATAGTAATATAATAATAATAATCACTATCACATATCTTGTTTACAATATTTTTTATTTAAATTCAAGTGAGCGTTATAAGTGTTTGTCTTTGTATCTTTCAAAGACCTTGGTGCAGAAATTGCTCTTGTTTTGTTAATTGTAAAAAACATTCCGGTGGGAAAACATTAATCCTTTTATCCTTTACATGTACTTTGTAGACGGTCCCTAGCTGGCCTAAGCGCTAGCTCGCTACTGCTAGAGACTTTATATGCTTTGCAACATATGGAGGAGGAGTAAAACAAATATAAAACGGATAGTTCTTGATTCTGAGTGGTTGAGCCAAGTTCGAAGCTGTTGTAAATTACTCTACAAAAGACTGCGCAGATCAAAAGCATGATGGGGAAACGACTGACTGAAGACACAGCTTAATGCTCATTGGTTCAGACAACCGTGATGCTGTGTTCTCTGCTAAAATGTTTTAGTTTTTATTTTACATGTGATTTAAGTATTTAAATTATGCATGAATATTCCCAAACACTATGTCTGTGCGATCTCTGTGAGATATGTTATTGTTGTCATATTTCTATAAAAATCTAAAATACATGTTTGTATTAAAGTACAAATGAATGATAAAAATGCCTTTCGTATTAAATAGCAAGCAGTTTGAGTGTCTTGGTCATCATATTTATTTTTATATAAAGGCAACAGAACTGAAATTATATCATGCTAATCAGCAGTAGAGCACACGAGTGAGAATAGCGCGATATCTGTCTTTGATCTCGTTGGTATCTGTTCACTTCGAGAGGTCAGGACTGTCCGTCTTGACTGAGCTTATTTCACTCCTCCCCTCACTGCAGCCGGCGGCTGGTCTCGTTTTGCTCTCGCGGTACTTTTTGGTACACATGTGATCATAAGGCGGCTGCAGCGCCGATCAAAGTCGGACAAATTTTCTAACCAGGATGCATTGCTTTTGACAGGCGGCGCTGCATGAAGTCGAACAAGCCTAATGTCTCTAAAGAGTGTTTTTTTGGATGTGAGGAAAAGATAACCTTATTTAGTGTTATGTGAACAGTGGATGCAATTTGTTTTTCCGAAGCAGCAAGAGTTTCTCAAGCATGTTTGTTTGTTCCCGTCATTTCGGTGACGAATGTTTTATAACAAGATACATTCTGACACTGGATTTGCACATCGTTTGATACTGAAAGACGGAGCAGTCCCAGCAATAAAACAAAGATCCTGGTCATGACTAGGAACTGCTGTAAAACTGCATCAATGTCTGTTTTGTTGCCAATCGGCCCGTAAGTGCTCGCGACTCTTCAGCTCCGCCCACAGCTCGCCTCCAGGAGCTTGGCTGTTTTCAATGTGAATGATGTAATACTACACTATAGGTACTCAAGATTAACTTGAGATTGGCCGAAACTGTGCGTTGTGTCCCCTTTAACCTAGTCCAGTCGTCTTTATTTTTATAGCACTACAGCACAGATTTAAGCCGCAGGAAATAACGACCATGGTGCAAATGGAATCATTTCTGCTGCGGCGCAGCTCCAAGAGAAAATAGTAAACGGTCATTGTTCAGTTGAAGTCGTATGCATCCGAAAACCTAGGCTGCTGACATCAGCCAATGACTTTGCAGGCAGCATTTGTTCATGAAGTTAACTCATGAACCTGATATCGGACATGCTTCTGAGGCAGCTTAACGGTTCAATGATCTACATCAAAATAGAACAAGCTTTGGTGATAATGCTTGAGCTTTTAAGGTATTGGCAACATTCATTAGGTCATTTGTTTAAGGCAACAGAATTGTTGCTACAGGTTATGCGGGTTTTGGCAACATATTTGATTGGTCATTGGTTAAGGGCAACATGCTTGTTGCTTAAGGCTTTGAGATTTTGCTATCAGTTTGTGCTGGGGGATATCAGCATATGGTTTTGTTTTGGGGGGTCATTGCTGCTCTCCCTGCTCTCATCCATGCTAGGCTGCATGGATGCGCAGGGAGTTCTTGTCCAGAACTGTAGTATACTTTACAGTTTACTGTAGTAAAAACTAGTGTATTGTAGTATACTATACCCTATAGTTGTAGAAAACTTTTACTGTACAGTATTCGGTAAAGTAATTTGTTTATATTACTATAGTTGTTATATTGCCACAGCAACTATAGAATTAACAAATTAATTCAAGTACTTTACTATAGTATGGTTCAAAACACTTTAGTATTTGTTCATGTGGGCTGTGCTGTGATTTCGGCTATATTTGCATGTAAAATGACTAAGCTTTGTTCATTAGACAAAAATCATTTCACATTTACACATATGTGTCGCTAGACGGGTCTGAAAACTCGCAAAAAATAGCGACAAAGTCTCTGAAAGTTGGCAACACTGCTGGCATTCAGCGTGAGACTCAGGCAATTGGCACTTTTCTCACGCTCTCACGCAATGCCACACATCCATTTTCTCACGCAGTCAAGAGCACCCTCAGTTAAAACTGTAATAATATATTGGCGAAACAGATTTAAAGGCTCCTGTACGTATTTGTTTTTGGCGCTCTGGAAAGCGTCAAAAGATTCTATTTTCAACGTGTTTTCGTAGCACTGAGCAATGTAGCCAATCACAGACATATCTGTTGATTTCTTGAACACCTGTGTTTGGCCTTTCACTCACCTCTAAAGGGGGGATTTTTTTTCCTGCACGATCGCAAATCCTCTCACTATGTAACACGATGTAAATAAGAGGTGCATTGATTATAAAGGATATAAAGCAGTGATTATAAAGCAAGGGCTATTTGTGCACTTTCTAGAATTTTAATAAAAGTTTTGTTTTTCGTGCTGCTAACGGCCATATAAATGCATAAATGCGGGATTCGTTTTCGAATGGCAGAAAAATATTATGTCTCAGAATAGATGTTCAAGCAATGCAGACTAATAGATTAACAGAAAAATATTTGAATTTTCGTGTCAAAATATAATTTAAATGCGGTTGCATTATTTATAAAAGTATGACTAGTAGCTAAATCTTGCAATTCTTTCACGCTGCCTTGCTATTCTTGTTGTTGTAAAAAGTGAATAGTTTTGCAGCACTGCAAGAGTTATTTTACAGTAGTCTACATAATTTTTTTTATATATAAAACAACCCAACCGGCTGTGGGAATTCTCACTCTAAATTAAACTCAAAAGTTGGCAGCCCTGTCTAAGTGTAATTGTACGAAGTTTAATAAATATTCTGATTAAATGTAAAATTGCTTATATGTTAGAAACGTAATATAAATGTTTAAAATAGGTTAAAAAGCTTGTACATGTGTTGACAAACTGCTTCCTGGGTTTGTGTTTGCACTGTGAGGTGGGGGGAGCTGTGAGAGAAGTGACAGGATACACTGCCACCTATCGACACATCATCTCCACAGACGCAGGTGATGAAGAGGGGGATTGCTTACACATAAGGACGGGATTCCACCACGTTATCGAGGGATTTCCCAATTGTGTGGTTGCAGACGCCGTCGTTAATTTCTTCTTGGCTCGCACAGAAAAGATACGACAGGTGGGCTTTGACCCGCGTCTGGCTCGGGTTGGCCATTTAGGTAAGAGGCCTAATCCAAAGTAGATTATGCATGTATTTGACACGTGTGTGTGCGTTACTATGATGTTTTTGGTTCTTCTTTAGCATTTTTTATTGATGGGCTCGGCTCCCTCCATGTGGGCTCCTGTGATGATATTATTATCAGTCATGCATCGAAGATCAAGGCGATGTTGCCATGGGGACAGTCTGAGAATGACAAAGCCTATTCCAAGTTCCGTTATGCTGCCACTCAGGAGACCTCTATGAATGAATATGATCTTTATTATCTCAAGAATCATTTTAAATGTGTCACCAGTGACTAAATGTGGAATGATAAAATGTATGTTCTGCAAAGCACTTTCATGGCAGACACTCTCAAAGGAGCCTTTATAAAACAAAGCCAGAAAGAACATGATTTGGGACATTAATTGTGTAATTTCATCTCAAAACAGTTTGAAGGTCCAATAAATTGTGTCTCTGGAAAACAGTGTTATGTGACATTGTTGAATACTAAAGGTTTTTGTGCATATGTATTGATGATGGATTCGTGGACACTGATGTTTTTTTTTTTAATAAATAGTGGAGTAAAATATGTTTTTTATTTTGAAGAGAGATATTAAAGAAAATAATTAGACTATTGGGGTATCTTTATTTTTAAATAATTGTACATTTTGTAGCCTACTATGCCAACTAAAATAACAAATGTTTCTATTTATTACCCTTTATTAACAGATTGGCTAATGCATCATCATTATGAACATTATGTACATCTTACCCTATTAGATAAAAAATACATTTGTCCGCTGTATCTTAAATATATTTTGCTGTCAATTTATTAAATGTGGCCATTTCCTTTTCAAGCCACAAGATGGCGGCAGCTCATCAGAGCGTCCATTAAGTTGACAGGAAATTTTACAGCTGGCACATGTGGGGGTTTTCTATCCCTTATTGATATTTCTCAACGAAGGTTTATTTTTTATAAGTAATTCATTTATAGAATCATATCCTAAATTCCACCAGTAAGGGCCAGAAAAAACTGTTTGCCCTTGAGACAGCTTTCCCCAGTCTCTCTTATTTTATTTGTTTAGATTTTTTCTGTTGAACCACGATTATGCTGTTATTCATAAATGTGATGAGTATTTTTTTTTCAGTATATTTAACTGATCAATACAATATCCCTTACATTTTAAACCATTGTTTTTGCCTCCCTATATGAAACGTCTTCATAGAGCAAATAAAAACCAATGTTAGGTCACATCATCATTTGAAAACAATTACTATTCTATGCTTTTTGTATAACATTAGCATCCAGCGTGGCTGAGAGATGCCAGCAGTGGCAGCTGGGCAGTGCTGTGCACCAGTAATGTGGGCTGGTTTCCATTCAGCCAATTAGTATAGTATTTCTTGAGCTTTAAAGAAAAAACTGGTGTGCTCCTGAGATTGGTCTTTGAAATACCAGAGGAAAAATGCAGACATCAAACATTAAACAGAAAAATTTGAGAATTTTTGAGTCTGTGTTTGAACAGTATTTTTTATCAAGTCAAGGTAGCCTACTAACAGGTTATAATAAGATAGTAGTATTTTACTTGCAGACTTAGAAACTCTTAACTCTACAAATTAAAAGTTTATACAATCACCAAACTTTGATCCAAAAATGGTTAAATAGAGGCAAGCAGGATAATGCAGGATACAGTAAAATGACATTTTATTTTATAATTTGCGCTTTAAATGATACTGAAAAGAAAAATGAATTGTCCAGTGAAAGAGAAAATGTTTATTTCAAATTAAATCAGACATTTATTTCTTGGTTTGGTCTCTTGGTAATCATTTATCATGTAATGATTACCAGAAATATGAATATTGCATAATATATAGCTTATGGAAGGACATTTTAGTAACGTACAGCATTTGTGTACTTTAAAAGCAATGGCAACAATACAAGATCAGAACATCCATTTTCATTAGGGATGCACCGATACCACTTTTTCCAGTACTCGCCCGATACCGATACTTTTAATTTTTGGTACTTGCCGATACCGATATTTTTATTGCATTTGTAAATTTTTTTTCAATATTGGTTACAGAAACCAAAAGAGTATGTATAATGTTCGTTGGTTAAATTCATTTATCAAATAGATACAGTCAAACCCAAATTTATTCAGACACCTTCAACATTTCGCACATTATCACCGTTTATTCACTATAGTTTAGAAAATGGTAATAAAATATGACAAGAACTCAGAGTTAAACTGTGTCAGAACAAATTCAGCTTGATAATGTTAGATAACTTTGATAGAAAGGTATGTAATGGATTACAATCAACCAATAATTATTCAGACAGCTGTTAGTATGACAGTATTTACACAACTATCAATACTTAGTCGGGCAACCCTTAGCCTTAATGACAGCCTGTAGTCTCCTGGGCATGCTGTCATCCAGCTTCATGCAAACCTGAACTTCAATTATTTTTCCCAGACTCTGTCTGAATAATTTTTGGTCCCAAATTTGTATCAGTTTTACTGGTAGTCCACTGTATGAAGAATTTTGGGGTATAATTTGTCAGTTTACTTTAGTTCATTTATGTAAGTGAGGACAGCAAAATATAGTGTCCTGCACCCACTAGTAAAAAAATTTCAAAAATTATATCTGGTTTCTGAATAATTTTTGGTTTGACTGTATATCCTTCGGTTATTTTCACACTTAATTATGCCCATTAAAATGTATTTCACAAGTTTTTGTTACTTTCACTGTTCTTTAAATTTTCGCTCTATGGTACATCATCTTTAATTTGATAGCATTAGAGCTGCTCCATTGCAGCGGCTTAGTACTGTAATCACGCGCTTTGCTATAATAATGCAGGGAACCACTCGTTATAAATCTCCTAACTGATATTTTCAGAAATAGAAGTCGCGAAGATTTTTTCATCTGAAACGTGCTGCGATTTATATTCCAAAGCCACTCATATAATGCAGAAACACTCAAGCAAGCAAAACACGCGCAACGCGTACATGTATTTGTACTGGTGCAGAATGAGAGGGACAAGTAGTACAGTCTAGCGCATTTCACACAGGCTGCTAGATTCACTTTCGCCAGAAAGTCGTGTATGCCGACGGTTGAAAATAAATGATGTTTATAGTGAATGCCCCTATAAATGGTCTTATTTTTACGATTTAGTTTTAATCTAAATGATGCGTGTGCTAAGTGAGTGAACATCGAAGGTTACAACAGAAGTGAGCTCGCTCTCTCTCTCTCCCTCCCTCCCTTCCGTTAAGTAACTTGTGCATTGTTTTACTTGTTTTGACATATCCGACCGAACTACAAGCTTTCCAGTGATGTCTGTGAGAAAGGTATATTCACTCGACAAGCTTGCGCATCTGTGCCGTCACGTGCTCAATCCACTCAGCGCGCTTTGCTAATCAGCTCGCGTACATCAGCTATACAGGCGTTAATACTGAATGTTTAACATTACATTAATTTCATACATATACTTCGTAGACATCCTTAATCTCTAATAACTCCATTCTGCTGTCTGTTGTCCGTGTTTATTTTTCTGAATATGGCACTTATCACATGCTGTGTGGTATCGGCATTTGGTATCGGGGCATTTTAACAAGTACAGGAGCTCAGTATCGGGCCCGATACCAGTATCGGTATCGGTGCATCCCTAATTTTCATTAAAAAAAAAAACATTCAGCCACTTTTGATAAATTGAAAATTTTCATAATCAATAAAATAACCATATTTGATCTTTTTTGCCTATGCAGGGCTAGAAATATCGTTAACACTGCTGTTAATCATGGTTGGCAATGTTAAGGCCTGAATGTTCGGCACAAATATTCGGTCCGATTTCAGACCAATGCACAAAACACACAGAGGCTGAATACAAATGCAGTTTCACTCTCTGACAGTAGATGACATTTATAAAAGCTGAAAAAACTGTTCCAGTACACAAAGAGCTGCGTTTTTGGTTTCTGTCATGGCAAAGGAAATGAGTCAAACAATATATACATGTTTTCAAACAGCCATTCAGATTTTTGTGTTTACTATGGTGTTTATTAACCAAATACAAGAGTACAGAGACAAGCGAGCCAAGCTGTTAACTGACAATCGGCAAAATAATCTGCGAGTACCAGCAACTCTAGTTTTATGTAACAACAGCGGCTCTGGGCAACTGACATAAAGCATGAATCTTATTGATTGACCAGGTTTTTTTTTTACCAGTGCAATGGAAGAGATTAGAACACCTCTCCATAAAAAATCCATTGCATGTCCATGTTTATGGCAATTAATTTTTGCACAGAATATTTGTGTTGGTATGAACTGGTTTTTAGCATGTAATGAACACAACAGCCACTACAGCTGTAATCTGTTAAAACAACCACTGATAGCCCCGACAAACTCATCACAGCATGTTGAGTCGAAATAAATGCTGGAATGACTTTGTCATTTCTCTGACACACTTGAAGTCACCAACTGGTTCTTTAGGTCCTGTTTTGAGTCTCAGTCTTGCATTACTTTGTGTCAGATAGATCACACCCATACCGTTGTGCTGTTCTCAGGAGGTTTCTCCTGTCAAACAAAATGATGACATTTTAAATGGAAATGAAATTGTGCCATAACACTACAGTTTAGCACATAAAATATGCTGTTTTGTCGAGATATGAAATCACATTTATGAAGAAGGTTTTGCATCATACCCGCTGCTGTTGTATGTAGACCACTGCATCATGAATTGTAACAAAAATATGCTGAGGATTCATGTAGTTCATCAGCCCGCTGGATGTGAGAATCTTCAGTACACTCTCTACAGGAGAAAGAAAATATTACCCTCAGGGAATTGTTTGAGAGGTTTGTTTAAGTATACAGTATATGTGAAAACTCACCATTGCAGTTAGCCAGGTATATCCGTACTCCTATCTTCTGGCACTCCATGCACATCTGTGGCAGGATATAAGTACCGTAAACATAGGACATTTTTCATGACAATGTTGATGGGTGTCTAAACAAAACCTATACAGTCTGGCTAACCTGTATGAATAACCGAGCTCCAGCAACATCCACGAAAATGACACTGCTGCAGTCTATTAACACAGCCTCGACTTCACCCTCAGCCATCTCTGCAGTAAACAATAAGAAAAATAAAGAAATAAAATGGAGGTGTGAAACAACTGAAATAAAAGACTCTTTAATGTGATTTTTGGTATTACTTGAACAAGTGGGAATGCACCTGATCTGAACAAGTCATTCTTTGAAGAAAATGAACTGTCTGTAACTCCTTGTTCCTTGAAAAACAATACAGTTATCCAATCAGATGTTTTCTTTAAATATGTTTTGTTGTTGTTAGAAGAAAATCTCCAAAATATCAAGGCAAAGACATATCAATTCAATAATACAGGCCTGAATACAAGTAAAGCATTTCAGAGGTTATGAAAGCAAAAAGCCACTAGATTTCAAAACCACTTAAATGCAAGTCAAATAAAACTACAGCAACAGCTGACATTAAACGTATTATCTTAATAAACAATTCTTCCAACAAGTAATATAGTTCAATAATCTAATTATATAATTACATGCAACATGGCTCATTAAAGGGATAGTTCACCCAAAAATAAAAATTCTGCATATTACATATTACAGATAAACTGATGGATTGATCATCTTACTACAGAGCTAATGGCCTCTCTCTCTCTCTTCTCAATGGCCTTCAGGGCTTTCTCTCGGCTGCGTATCCTCTCAGGGGTGAGGCCCAGAAGCTGAGTCATATCAGCCTTAAAAAAGCTACGGTTCCCATAGTAGATGGGCCCATTGTAGGTCAGGATCTTCACACCAGGGACTTCATAGCACTACAGTACAGAGAGATGAAGAGGGTATAACCACGTCGGCAGTTATGTAACACAGATGTGATTAAGACAAATGCAGCAATGGTTAATCAATTTAACTTCCAAAAGCACAAGGCCCAATTCTAATCATAGTAAATTACATTACATGTGGTAATAAGAAAATAAACTTAATATGATGCCTGTTGACTCACTTTATTATGGTTGTTGATGGATCTGTAAATCTCTGTGTTGGAAGCTCTTCCTAACACAGAGCAGTTGGCCCTGAAAACAGAAAGTTTACTATGAGTTCAGGGACATCTTTTTGTCTCAACTTTATCTCCCCTTTCCTTAAATGTGAATTTCATATCCGCCAGGAGAGGAAAGTTGTTTTGGAACACAGGGGTCTGTAAGGGATACTGGTTCGCTGTTTTTATACAGCCCCTGAGCTTTGGAACGCATAATTAAAGGATGTAGTAAACATGATTATTAAAGCAGATAAATACACAAATCTAATTAGGTAGTTTCAATCTCAATTATATTATGTACTCAATACCTCGTTCCACTGGGGCTGCTCTAGTTGGATTGATAATATCATTATCTCTATACAGCCAGAATGATACACACACTCTAATTCAGTGGTTCCCAATCTTTCTCCCAGAGGATCCCTTTTTTACATGTTATATGTTTCAAAACCCTTATGAAATCTAAGTGTACATTTAATTAGATTTATACAGAAGTACCCTAAATCCATGGACAGTTTGGTTATTATTAAAATATTAAATTACACAACAATTCATGTTTAATGTGAAACCTGTGCATGCATTTCTTCAGCAAATACATTCAGGAGTAACTTTATTGCTTGCTATACAAAAATCATTTCTCACTTCCAATATGTTACATGGTATTGTTTTGATCATAAATAGTTTGGAAAAACATGCTTAGATTTTTTTAACAGGAATAGAGCTAAATTCATTCTACCTTTAGCCATAGGGTTTTAATCTATTTTTATTCATATAATTTTTCATAATCTATTATTTTATTTTCTAACAGAATATTTTTCACTCATTTGTGTTTATAGCACATATTAGAGTGAAATCATAATAATTTCCTCCTAGTGCGGGTTATGACCCTGAAGTTAGTAAACCTTGCTCTAATTTATACTAAATAGCTCATGAAGTGAGTATATGAAAGCCCAAGTAGTCATAATAGAAAGTGTCAGTATTTTTACCTCTGTGTACGACATATAACTGTCATCATTGAGAAGACCACTCCAATGGCCAGGCCCAGGTCTACATTTAGCACAACTACTGACAGCCAGGTCACAAGCCACACCATCTGTTCAAACATACGTAACAAGAATTGAAATTAATCAGCTGGACTCAATGTCATTCAGAAATTAAACATATTTAGCACTCATCTGGGAACGAGAGGTGGTAAGACCGTACAAAATCAATTTTGCTAATTCGCCAAAGGTCTGGGAGATCCTGAAACAGTAGGAACATCTGTCTCAGGCTGGTCACATTTATACATGCAAGCACTGCCTGGATGAAGAGAAAGGAGAGAGACAGTAATGCTAAAAGTTATATTGATAATTCCTTAAAAAGAGTATGAAATCCAAAATTACCATTTTTTTTGTTACCAAATGTCTATGACCTATAAGTCAATATTTACATTGATTTTGGTGCATTTATCAGACGATTTTATCCAAAGCGACTTTCAAAATAATACTCAATACTGTTTCATTCTGAAATATGTCACATTAGAAGATAAATTCATTGCAAATGTGTCTTACCTTGGGTAGAAAGTAAAACAGAGGTCCTATTAGCAGAAGTACAATAAGAACAACCAGACTTGTGAACAGTCCTGCGAGCTGTTGAAGTACAGATAAAGGATATTATTGTATTTAACTCCTACTATGTTTGACAATCTTGTACAGAAAAATAGTCAACTTACACTTCTAGCAGTAAACATACTGCAGTAAACATTCATTACATTATCTCAGCGGGACCTTTACTGCATAACATTGCTTTGTTTTCTAACATGGAATAAGAACAACTCAAACAAACCAGTACCTGTGTGTGACCTCCAGCACTCTCCAGTATGTTTGTGGTGGCCAGTGTAGCTGAATTGGGGAAACATGTGAAGAGAGATGACACAGTGTTGGAGATCCCATGTGCTAGAAGCTCCTACAGCAAAAATGAAAGAACATTGTTTTTTGATGGTGATTACAAATCTATGCTCAACCAGTCAAACTTTTCAGATTATTAATATAGTATCTACCTGATTTGGATCAATGGAGTATCCATGCTTATCAGCATAAATCATGGCTAGAGATACAGACACAGCGTAAGCAACAAGGGTGATGGCAACTGTGTCACCGGCAATTTCTGGAACTGTCTCCAATGCAGGCAGCCGTGGCTCGGGGAAGCTGAAAAGTAGTAAATATTTAGCTTTAAATTATAGTTAAAATGCAGGATGTACAGTGGTGGCCAAAATTATTAGAACACTAGTATCTCAACTAGCTAAAAAATGGTTTAAAGTCAGTTATTTCTATCTTTTGCTGTGGTGTGTCAGTAGGAAATATCAGTTTACATTTCCAAACATTCATTTTGCCATTAATTGTAATAATCCAGTGAGATTTTTGTTTGCACAAGGAGTCTGCCAACAACCAGAGCTCCACACAGAGATCAGATCTCATCATCATCCAGTCTGTCTGGAATGACATGAAGAAACGGAACAAACTGAGACAGACTAAATCCAGAAGAACTGTGAGAAACGTCTCCAAGATGCTTCAAGAGACCTACCTGCAAAGCAACCTGAAAAATTATGCGCAAGTGCACCAAGGGCAAAAGCGGCTTTAAACACAAAGGATGGTCACAAGATTTAATTTAGTTAATAGAATTTAATTGATAAAGAAAATCGATTTATGACATCATTTTTGGCAGCATCCTCATTTTACAACATTTTTACACAAGTTCCTCAAACTTTTAACAGTACTGTAGCTTTGCAGGTAGGTCTCTCTATCTATATATTATTACCAATTGAGCATCTCTGGAGAGACCTAAAAATGGCTGTCCACCAACGTTTACCATCCAACCTGACAGAACTGGAGAGGCTCTGCAAGGAGGAATGGCAGAGGATTCCCAAATCCAGGTGTGAAAAACTTGTTGCGTCTTTCCCAAAAAGACTCATGGCTGTATTCGATCAAAAGGGTGCTTCTACTAAATACTGAGCAAAGGGTCTGAATATTTAGGACCATGTGATATTTCAGTTTTTCTTTTTTAATAAATCTGCAAAAATGTCAACAATTCTGTGTTTTTCTGTCAATATGGGGTGCTGTGTGTACATTAATGAGGAAAAAAAAATTAACTTAAATGATTTTAGCAAATGGCTGCAATATAACAAAGAGTGAAAAATTTAAGGGGGTCTGAATACTTTCCGTACCCACTGTATATATATTTAAAAATAATAACAATATATTACCCTGCTGGAATATGTCCTACTATCTGTATGTCATATTTGGAATCCAGGGAAAAGGCATATGTAATCCCTGTTGCAATTATTACCTGCAAGAGCCACAAGAGAATGGAAGATTATTTTTCACAGTGCAGACAACACTAGAAATAGAGTTGATGATGAAACTCTCATTATACTGGACTAGTTGTCTGGTGAATGACAAATATTTGTACAAAAGTTAATTTGCTTTGATTTATGTCAGGAATTCACAGAGATGTTCTAACCCTTCTAAATATCTGTTGAGGAGTGCAAACTCACAGTGATGATCTCCACGGGGATGGGAGTGCGCAGACGCTCCCGAAAGCGTGAGTTGACCTCTTTAACTGGCACCAGAACAGCCAGGCAAAGCAGTGAGATCACCAGCTCAGCCAAATTAGTGTGGGGCACATTCTCCATCACTGATGCCAGAGTCTGTGGGTTTAAAAGGAGCTACTGACTCATTTGTGCCCAGTAATAGTGAGCGATACTACAGTGATAATTATAGTAGTTTTAACTAATTATTACACTAGTAACCAGAACAGAAAAAACAGTCTGTGTTCCACCATTTCTGACCTTAAAAAGAGAGAAGGCACCAGCATATCGGGGTAGCCGTAATCCCAACATGCTTTGCAGCTGTGAGACAGTCACATGGAAGGCGGCTGCACTTGTAAATGCCTTAACAATTGGTTCTGAGAGGTATGTGGAAAGGAAACCCAACTGGAGCCCGCACATGCAGAGCTGGGACAATAAAAACAAGCAACATGATATCATAATTCTGTAGTCCGAGTCTAACATTTCATCAGATAACAAACTGGTTAACTAAAACACACGGATGCGATGTGTATAAATACAGCAACATTTTCTTACCATCATTATGCCTGAGAGAAATGCTACAGCTGATGCCACCCCAATCCTCTGGGCCTCAAACTCTGCTGCCTCTGGGCTACTGGAGTTCAGTGCGAGTGGGATGGGAACTAGTTGCTCCACCACTGAACCAGTCATCAAACTCAACACAGCAAAGGTACCTACAAAAGCCAAACTCTTGAAATTATATTTCATTTTCTCGGTTAAACATGGCTGCAGATTAATAACATTGTAAATATTCGAGCACTCTTCGAATACTCGTATCCAAAATGTGATGAACAAATCTGTGGGGAAACTTTGTGGAACCACAGTTTTTAAACTGTGCTAAACTCTGGTAAATGAAAGTCTTTTACCTGTAGAAACGTGGTGACCAGTGCCGAAGAGCATATAGAGAACTACAGGGAAGAAGGAAGTGTAAAGGCCATAGACTGGAGCCACTGATGTCAACAAAGCAAAGGCCATTCCTAGCAAACAAACAGTATGTTTGATCATTTATGGTGTCTTGAATATGGGTCAAATACATGATGCATATTTCATCTACTAAATTAAAACTACATTAAAATTTAAATTCAAAGACTTCCTCGTATAAACAAAGCTGGCAATAAAGCACATTCTGATTCTGATTAAATATGCAGTTTCTATGAATATGTTATCAATATCGGAATTATTGTTGTTGTTTTGTTATTATTAGTAGTATTATTAGTATTTTAATCGGTCAACAATCTCAAACTGACCCCCACAAGTATAACGAACACATAGGACGCCATATTGCTGTCATGTGACAAGAAAAGTACAAAAAAAAAATCACGTATATGTTTATTTATTAAATGTTTTGTTCAGGGCAAATCTACGCCTTAGAAAACGTCGATATTTGTTCTAAAAAATCTCTATATATGTCATATTAGTATATTATATTTCAAATATATGTATTTTTGACAATAGAAAACACCTTTTTAAAGTAATTATTAACTTATACTCACGTGTATTCAAGTCGCAGATAAATTATTTAACTCCTCTAACGTGATGGTTGAGACTTTATTTAGACTATTTATTAATTAATCAATTGGAAAATGTTACGAACGTTTTTCACACAGTGTGAAAATGTTCATAACATTTTCTAACTAAAAATGTTATTATTAAAAACATAACATATTATAATAAAATATAAAAAGGTGTATATAATTTACTTGATGTATAATTATATAGGCAAACGAATTTTGCATAAACAACTATAATAGTTTACCCAAAAATGAAAATTTGCTGAAGGAATGCTCAGGCCATCCAAGATGTAGATGAGTTTGGTTCTTCATCGGAAAAGATTTGAAGGAATTTAGCATTATGCACTTGCTCACCAATCCTCTGCAGTGAATGGGTGCTGTCAGAATGAGAGTTAGAAACATGACAATAATCCACAAGTAATCCACACTGCTCCAGTCGATAAATTAATTAAATTAATTAATTTAGTTCTGAATTGAAAAGCTGCATGTTTGTAATAAACGTTGTTGTTTCCGGCTAAAATACGAGTCTTCTAACCATAATATTGCTTTCTCCAGTGAAATAGTTGTCTCGTCTGAATCAGGAGAGAAATATGCACAGATCAAGCACTATTTTGAAGCGAAAACATTCCAGAATTCGAAACAAATATGTTGGTGGATGTTGATGTGAGAAGACAAAAGGGGATTTAGGATTATGAACTCGTATTTTGGCCAGAAATAGTCATATTCAAGTCGCAATGAGTCGTATGAATTACTTGTTGATTATTGTGGTGCATTTATCAGCAGTTTGAACTCTCACTCTGATGGCACCCATTCACCACGGATGATCCATTTCTTCAAATCTGTTCTGATGAAGAAACAAACTAATCTAAATAGGTATACATTTTAAGCAAATTTCCACGTCTCGGGGAAGTATTCCTGTTTTTAAGACTACTTAGTAGTTAAGGGGAAGCCCAGAGTGTCAATTTGGAATAAACCAGTTGAATGTACTTCATTGTACTCGCCATTGTCAAGTATTTTCTGTTGTCTGAAGAGTAACTTGCGTTGTTAAACTGCTATGAAAAATGGGTGAGCCTCTGAGTTTTAGTGTGAACGTGGTGGAGATCACTCCAGCTCTGGCTCAGCCAACAAAGCCATTGCCGTTTGTACCTCTAGACAATGTCACGGGTGGCTGAGATTGCAATCTCACAAAATGTCCAACCCATAAAACAAAGACCGATACAGTATAAATGGAACAGTTGTTTTGGTAATAGCCCAGTATTAGGACGCATGAACGATCCTCTTCCTGCATGCTGTTTGTTGGTTCGTGCAGAATGCCACGCACCTGCGTTGGCTCAGACTGGACCGGCTACTGTCACACTGCAAACTGTTGGTAGAGGTGGTACTGCTAGTTTTTATTTGTCTCAATCAGGGTTATGTTAACTAAAACTAAAACCACAAAAATAAATTTTACTTGAAAAATAAATATGTTAACTGAAATAAAATAAAATAACAACTTAAACTTTAATCAACTTAAACAAAAGTGTTATTTTATTACTTATTATAAATGATGAATTATTATAATTATTTCAACTAAAGTTGCCAAGGAAACATTTCCGGTTTTTCTTTAATATAACTTGAAGTCAAAATAACTATATAATCTAAATAACAAACTAAATACATTTAAAAAAAAAAAACAGTATAGACATTTTAAAAAATTAAAAATTTGATGACAAACTATTTTTTTTATACCTTTAACTTAAATTGAAGTGAAAACAGAAAATGTATAAAAAAAAAAAAATCCAATTCAATATATATATATATAAACTAATAGTATATCAGTATTACTTATAATAACACAGGGTTATTAGCATTAACTAAAAAAATACATCAAAAAATAATTACTTGAAATAAACTAAACATAAAAATATACTAAAATAAAATTCAGACATTTTCATTAGTTTTGTTACGGGGCTGACGAGACGTGAGACGTGCGGATCCAGTCGCAAAGCTTTTATTGTGGAGAAGACAGAGACATGGTCATAAAGCAGGCAGGGTCAAGCAGAGGCAGACAGGTATATGGCGGGCAAAACACAAGAATAATCCTAGGGCTAGCGTGGGTTTGACGATTGGCAGACAGAATCAGAAGGGGCAAGACTAAGGGAGAAATCCAGGAAACCAGGCGACGATCAGAAACCGAGAAAGCGGCTAAGGCTAAGGCTGGGAAATGACTGAGGGCTCTGTAGTGTAGCTATCACTAGGGGAGTGATAATCGCTGAAACAATACTCGGCAGAGGGAAGGGATCAGAGTGAGTGTTAAATAGTGAGGGAGTGATATGAAACAGCTGGGTGCAATCAGTGTAAACAGCTGTGTGCAATCCATGCTGAGTGTAATCAGTGCAATGCATGATGGAAAATGTAGTCCGGGGTGATGTGCAACAGTGTGTAGTGCGAGAGTCAATGAAATTGGAAGTTCATGGACCGGATTCGTGACAGCTTCCGGAGGGCGGTGGAGTGGAGGCGGAACAGGGGGAGGGACGGAGGGCCAGGTCCAAGGATAGGAGAGACCAGGGACTGAGGCAGAGCCGGCGGAGCTGAGGACCACCACAGCAGAGCAGACGGGACCGAAGATCCCCACGGCGGAGCGGAAGACCACCGGAGCCAGACAGTAGACCACCACGGTGGGGCAGAGAACCACCAGAACCAGACAGTAGACCACCACGGCGGAGCAGAAGACCACCAGAGCCAGACAGTAGACCACCACGGCGGAGCAGAAGACCACCAGAGCCAGACAGTAGACCACCACGGCGGAGCAGAAGACCACCAGAGCCAGACAGTAGACCACCACGGCGGAGCAGAAGACCACCAGAGCCAGACAGTAGACCGGCTAAGGGCTCTGAAACAATACTCGGCAGAGGGAAGGGATCAGAGTGAGTGTTAAATAGTGAGGGAGTGATATGAAACAGCTGGGTGCAATCAGTGTAAACAGCTGTGTGCAATCCGTGCTGAGTGTAATCAGTGCAATGCATGATGGAAAATGTAGTCCGGGGTGATGTGCAACAGTGTGTAGTGCGAGAGTCAATGAAATTGGAAGTTCATGGACCGGATTCGTGACAAGTTTAAACTGAAGTACTAACTTAACTAAACCTATACATGCATATTTTGAAAATAATAATAAAAATGTCAAAAACAAACAAAACAATACTTAAACTTAAACTTTAAATAAAAACAAAATATACAAATACAATTTAATTAAAAATATTAACAAAAATGATTAAAACAATAATGCTAAAATTACACTGCTTCTGACCGACAGAGATATTGACAAAGCAATATGAACAAGAAAAGTCATTTCGAATTTAAATTGATCAAATATAGAATAATTTATTATAAAAATCATGCATTTTGATGTAACAGAAAAGTCAGTCCAACGCTTCAAATGAATGCTTTCTCTGATTGAGGGAAGCATGGCTAAAGGGCATGAACTTTATGACTAATTATCTCATACATTCTTTAACAGATTGTTCCCAAATTACACAAACATTTTATATCAGCATTAGACATTAATTTCGTAAGCTCTTTTTGTCACTGTGGCTGTATTGCTAAAGACAAAGCAAAAGCCAACCAGAGGGGATGTCTTCACAATGTCTTCACCATTGGGTATAGTCCAAAATGTGAAGTGTATCCATTTTGGGTGTATTTTTAATTATAAGTGAAAAATACGGTTGTTTTGATCTCATATTCCAAGAATCTCCAGGTCTCTGTAGATATGTGGAGTTTTTTTGTCAAGGAATGCAGCTATTGTGTTCATCAGCTCAGGAGAATTTGTGGACACGCTGATGGCGTGTTACGTCTGGTGGCTGTTTAAACAAGATTTTAATCAGCGGTGAAAGGAACAATGCACTGAATGGAAGAGGATATGGAGTGTTGAACCCCCCTCAAAAGCAAGACGAAGCTCAAGCACTCCAAGAAAAGAAAGGCTATGATAAACCAGACAATATAGACTTTTTCAACAAGAGTGATTCACTTTGACTGGAGTCTGTTTACAGTCTAATTTGGATGTCAGTTGACAGGCGGTTGGTAGTTGATAAAGTGTTGAGTCTCAGACATATTTGCCCTCTGACTGCCCAACAGTCTGTCTGCATAAAACCTTTTTAAAAAGCATTTTTGAACATATAGCACATTTGTGAAACTATTTAATGGATTTATTTGAACAAAAGGAATTAGTATTGTTACAGAAAGTTGGATCTCATTGCATAGTTTGTATTGCATAAAATAAAGCATGTGATAGTACTTGCATAAGGGGGACAAACTTGGTTTTCTTTGGCTAGAAAACTTTTGTGGTATAATTTCCCTAGTTGTATATGCAATAATTGCATTAGAACAATATCTTGTTAACCTTCATGCCCCCCTCACGCTGAGAGTGTGTCGGGGTGCTCGGCTATTGTCGTCTGCTTCATCGTGCTGTTCTTGTTATGGGTGGGGTGTCATAATAATTTGTCAGAATTCTATAGTTCCTCTCATTGTTCCTTATCTTTTTTATGGGCTACTTCAGCTGACCCCCACTGGTATGTCCTTTGCTCTGACCTCGACAACGAGACAGGTGCTGAACCTATCTTTCTGTGGCCATCCGACCACCTCTCCCTTCCTGTTCAATCACGAGTACGTCTCCACATTCATTTTATGGGTTATAATGAATAATGATTAGTTCTCCTTTGCTCCTTCAGCTATTCTGGTCTCTCCATACTGTTGTACTGCATGACCGTCTTAGCAATACTGGGCACATCCATAGATTGT